GAAAAATATAAGAATTTGAACCTTCATTCTATTTCTCTTGGTCCATCAGTTCATGATGTTCATACTCCAAAAGAACATGTTCATGTTGAAACTGCAACTCAACTTTATGCACTTCTTATTTCTGTTATGGAGAAACTTTAAACAACAAAAATCAATTTAATTGATTTTATTCATTTCTATATTTCTTCTTATTCTTTTTGTTTTAATCTTTTCTACTTTTTTTTAATAGAATTTTGTGCACTATAATGATATGGAATTAAACCACTTCCTTTAACTGTTTTTTCAAAATCTTCATCTTTTGTTCCTGATAATTCTTTCCATTTCCCCACAATTTCTCTATCTAAATTTGGTAAGTCATTTAATAATCGTTTCTTGGGATCACTAAAAAAATATATTTCTTTTGATCTTCCTCCTTCTTCTACAACAACTATATCATATTTTTCTGGATGTTCAACCATTGATGCTAAGTCTTTTTCTACATCTGGATATGCATCATCTAATAAAGACCTTGCTACTGATTTGAATTTAGAATCATGTATAATCTTAATTAACCCTTCTAAGTTTGTTGCATTGATTTTTGGTTTATATTTAAACGTTTTTCTGACTGGATTATATTCCACTGAACTTGACATTGTTGAAAGTCTTTGAAATAATTCTGTACCTTCAGAAACATCATATCCCAATTCATTTAATATTTGTTTTATATCATACTCTTTTCTATTCTTCTTTAAATGCTCAACAATTGCACTTTGTTGTGTTCTAACATCCATTCCATAGTTCATTTTGTTTATTTTTTTTTAGTTCTTGTTATTGTTAAATTTCATAGAACAAGTCAAAAAAGAAAGTGTTAATTTTAACAAAATTCATTTAAGAAATATTTCAAAAAGAATGAAAAATTCATGTCAAATAAAAAAAGACGTTCTATTAAACATTCTAAATGATGATATAAAATTAAATGAAATAAGAGTTATTTGTATAAAAAGAAAAACAATAATTATTAATAAAAAGTAATATTATAATAACCATTATCATAATTATTTTAGCAATGATATACAACATTCATATGGTTATAATAAAAATAAATATAGTAAAGAAAGTTATTCAAATTTAAGAGTAACACAAAATAAATAAATAAATCAATGAAATGATAAATACACAAAAACAAGAATAAATAATAATATTTATAGAGAGTTTAAAATAAATACTCAAAGAAATAGAAGAAATTAAGAACATAAGATTAAAGAATGTAATAAATAACAGTAAAAACTACTACTCATTTATAAAAGAATATTTAAAGAATAGAAATAAATAAAAAAATACAATGAGTAGAATATCAGAGATATGATAAATAATTAAACAAAGTTAGTTTTTATGAATAGTTCTTTAAAAATAACTTAAATACAATAAACATTATTTGAACAAAAAAAAATAGTTCATAGTCATTCTAATAAATTTTACAATAGAACGAAGTAATGATTATTTATTTCATTCAAGAATAAATAGTATTTGATATAAAAAAGCATTTTATAAACTCACTATTAGTCTTATGTATTGTCTGTTAGAAACAAAGAATTAAATTATATTTATTATAAAAATAAGAATTGAAGATCAATCTATCTACATAGATAATTAGTAGATTATAACAGTAAAGTCAATAAATTAATTAATAAATGTTAAGTCAATAAAAAAGATAAATATTAATAACATAAAATGTAACTCTTATTATTGTAGTTTTTAATAAAGGATTAAAAGATGTAAAACCTAATACAATCATAATAGAAATAAACATACAATAAGAAGTCTAATAAATCTCCTTTTAATTTTAAAAAATTATTTATTTAAAACTATTTCAAAAAAAAAGAAACATTAAAATAGAAGAAATGAAAGTTGTTAAATTTGTTTTTCTTACTTGAAAACATATCCAGCCTCCTTAAGAACATCAAAGATTTTATCACGATGCTCTACTCCATAACATTCCATTTGAACATCACATAGACATATTCCAATAGCAGAAGTTGCTGGTCTTCTTGTTGCAACACCAACAACAGTTGCTTTTTCTTCAGTAATATGAGCAAGAAGATCCTTAATAGCACCTGGAACATCTGCAATTTCAACAGTAAATTCAACTTTTCTTCCTGCCTTAACAAGACCTCTTTCAATAACTTTATTGATAACATTAACATCAAGATTTCCTCCTGAAACAATACACACAACATTTGTATCTTCAGTAAGTCCTTTAATCTTTCCAGATAATAATGCAGCTACTGGAGTAGCTCCAGATCCTTCACTTACTATTTTACATCTTTCTAACATCAATAACATAGCTTGTGCAATACTCTCTTCATCAACAGTAACAATTTCATCAACATATTTCAATAAAACTGGTGCTGTCTTATCACCAGGTGCTTTGACAGCAATACCATCAGCCATAGTTTTTGCTGTCTTAACACAACAAATCTTATGTTCTGCTTTAGA